GTTTCGTGTGTTTAAAGTAATCGTTCATGTCTACTGTTTTGTATTTTCACAATTGGCGTCATGTAATAATGTATTGAACGGCAATTTTGGTAAAACTTTTGCCAGCTTATCCACACTTTGTTTCACTTTAATCAGTGTACTGTTACTAATGATTCCAACTGGCATATTCATCAATAAATTGCTCTGTGTCAGTTCATCGTAAATAGCATTCAGAGGAGAGATCAGCAGATCAAAGTTTATTAAATTTTTGATTGTCGTAAAGAGAACAGCAGATGCATCCCAAATACCCTTAATATGTCCAATAGCACGTTTCAATTCGTAATCAATCGTCGCTACTGTATTGCTTTCTTCCCTGAGTGTCAGCAGCGTTGACTGTAACGCTTGCAATTGTGCTTGCAATTGAGACAACTGTGTATCTAAATCTGTTTTCTGACCTTGTATAGACGACAACTGTTGACGATAACTATCAACTTGTTGTTGTGCACTTGTAACTTGACTTTGCGCGTTATTACGTGCATCTTTGGCAGTATTGATTCCATCATAATTTAATACACTACAGATCGGTCCTACAATATCGCCTACACGATCACTCCACCAGTCACGACGTTTTCGACCAAGATGACATCTTCTTGCCTCTTCAAGTTCATTTTCTGCAATTCTCAACGCATTCTCTGCATTGGCTAAATTCTGTTGTTTATCTCGTAATCCTTGTTCAGCGGTAGATAATTGTGTTTGGATACCTTGAATTTCAGCTGTTTTCTGTTGAATTTCACCTTGTTTTCCATTGATTTCGCCTTCCTTGGCACTCACGGCAGCAGCAGCGTCTTCAACTTTTTGATCAATTTCCGAACGAAGTTTTTGACTTTCATTAACAGCTGTTCCCACAGAATTATACAAGCTTTCAACGGAACAAGTTAAATTCGATACGAGTTCACTAACAGCTGAATTATCTTTTGTATTCGCATTAGCCAATAGGGAATTCAATATACTTTGTTGAAGGATGGTATAAACATCTTTGTATGCTGGAATAACTGTTTCATTCATTTTTGTTTCATACCATGATTCTGTAACATCGCTTGCCCCATCACTCAGTGTCGATAGACAGCAGACTAGTAGTAAGAATGGTAATCTCAACGTTGATTTCATTGCAGGTGATAAGGATGCAGACTCGATTTAGTAGACTGATAATTTGAGTGCATTTATACAAAATTTTTCGTTTTCTATGCAGATTTTTGTTCTTTAATGGTTTTCCCCCAATTCGCCATCCCACTTTCGTTCTTTTCACTTTACTCACTCAGTTCAATTATTCGAATATTAACCTGTGTATTTAGTGTGTTTACATACCAAGAAATATCTATGTGACCATACGGTACATTATTATTACAATGAATCAAAAGAAATACGATATTGATTAGTAACATTATTTGTTTTGTTGATTTGGTTCTGTTTATTCTTTATCACAAAATAAACATATCTTGTGTTACAGAAAGGCACTAAGTAGATTGAATGCTTTCTTTTTCGATTACTTTTAAAAGCAGTTTAAAAGCATTCGAATGAACAAATAGTATATGTATGAGACAACAGAAATTATTTACTTAGTTGGTAGAGCTAAATATTCTCTAAACAATGGCATAGGACAGCAAAAAGCCTCAACAAGATGTTAAAAATATATGACGAGAAGAGTTATTTGAGAAAGAAGGGTTTTTTAATATTCTTGAACCCCCATCAAATCAACTTATCTAAGTGATTCTGGTGAACCGTCGATTAGATTTCCGAAAATAAATGCTAAAACGGAGAGGTGAGTGCCTGTTTCAAAATGAGGAAAAGAATTATGAATTTTGTCTTCGATATTTTATGATCTTGAACGACTGTCGAAAGGGTAATTTCTAAATAGAGAATTGAAATTTTGAATTTTGTCAAGTTTCTTCTGCAGTTTACCAGGATCACTTATATGGAATAGTGCTCTGATAATTTACAAATATCATAAAATCCCTTGTTTCTTTTACCCTTCTCAAGCCTCTCTTCTGATTGCATGTGATTACTTGAATAATAATGTTTAGAATAATACTAGAGTCTGTCTATTCTGTTCATCATAGAGCAACAAATCATAGTCTTTTTATTGAACATGCCACTAAGGGTTCAATTATTCAGTGTTATCCACTATTCAGACAGTTTTATCAAGCGATGAATTTTTCAAACTAGGCACCAATAACATGCTTTTTGCTGAACTTTCTCTTGTAGCAAGGTTTTGGTGCTTGATAGAATCGTTTAAGTATTCGATAAAATTCAATATTTCGTTGATACTTACATTTAGTGTTTTTCTGACTATTCAGGGCTGACAGTTTGCTAAGAAGCGTTGTCTTCGACAGAAAAGAAAAAGATATAATGAAGGTAAACCAAAAGGATCTATGCACACAGACAACTTTTTGAAAGAGAATGTAAGATGAAAGTCGAAGGGATAATATAGAAGGAATGGATGTTTCGAATAAGGATAAGCTATAGTAGAGTTTTGTGTCATTAGTGTATACCTTGAGTGTATTCTTGTCATATAATTAATTTAAAAGACTAATTGATGGGAAACCATTAAAGAACAAAAATGTGCATATCACTTCCAGCGTATTAAAAAAGGAAAAAGTCTCAATTGTAAGCACAATTGCAAGCGTTACAGTCAACGCTGCTGACACTCAGGGAAGAAAGCAATACAGTAGCGACGATTGATTACGAATTGAAACGTGCTATTGGACATATTAAGGATATCTGAGATGCATCTGCTGTTCTCTTTACGACAATCAAAAATTTAATAAACTTCGACCTGCTGATCTCTCCTCTGAATGCTATTTACGATGAATTGACACAGAGCAATTTATTGATGAATATGCCGGTTGGAATCGTTAGTAGCAGTACACTGATTGAAGTGAAACGAAGTGTGGTTAAGCTGGCAAAAGTTTTACCAAAATTGTCGTTCAATACGTTATTGAATGACGCCAATTGTGAAAATACAAAACAGTAGACATGAACGATTACTTCAAACACACGATTCTTTTCTATTAATATGTAACAGTATTTTGTATTTTCGTTTCAAATATATATATTACTCTAGAAAACAGTTACAAGACGTTCTTATATACACACAGATAGACAGAAAACACAACATGCTTCTTGATTCTTCTCTCTCTTTTTTCTCTTTTGTGAATTTTAAATGTATATCGTTTTCCACTATGTAAAAAAAATCTTATTTCTGATGATGACAGAAGATTCTGTCGAAAAAATAAATTTCACTGTGATTAGTTAACTCATGCTTTTCACTCAACGAACACATAGGTTCATTACTATAGAGAATAAACAAAAGTAGGAAAAAAACATAATTATTAGGTTAAATGACCTTAAAACATTTTATCAAGTTTAATACAAGATGATCTACAAATCGGAGAAGTGATTGAATTTAAAGCACTTAAATTATTAAATTTTTAAAGATAACTTCGTACTAAAGTAGGAACGTGTATGCGTTTGTATTCAAGTTTTGAAACAGACAATAATCGTCGTATATTCAGCATTTCGTGTTCTTTTTTCTTTTCACATAATTTATCTCGCAGCAGCACACATTTTTTTTCAGCCTCAGTTATGGTTCGCTCAATCGCCTATGCTTCGCATTTCAATAAATCTTTACT